CCAAGCGGGGGGGGGAGCCGGTGGAGCCGGCCAGGTGGGCCGGGGGGAGGGGTGCATGCCTATATTTGGTGATCTCGGGCCCAGCCATGCCCGCCTGCTCCGAAACCTGCCCCGGCTCCCGCCCCGCGGCGAACAGCCGGGGCAGCGCCGGGGCTGGACTTTGGCTCCCCGAGGCCGGGAGCTGGGCGGGGGCACGCAGGGCGTGCGGGCAGAGCTTGCGCACGGGGGTGAACCCAGAGCTTGGGGGAGGGGTGCATGCCTATATTTGGTGATCTCGGGCCCAGCCATGCCCGCCTGCTCCGAAACCTGCCCCGGCTCCCGCCCCGCGGCGAACAGCCGGGGCAGCGCCGGGGCTGGACTTTGGCTCCCCGAGGCCGGGAGCTGGGCGGGGGCACGCAGGGCGTGCGGGCAGAGCTTGCGCACGGGGGTGAACCCAGAGCTTGCACACAGGGGTGCCACGTGGCCCTGCCTCTCCTCTGCACCCCCGTGGACACAGTGACCTGGGGGGGCAAGCAGGAGGGGAGGGGCGCCCTGCCCTGCCCTGGGAACGGGGAGACCTGGGGCATGGGGGCCACCCTGGTGCAGCACAGGTGGGCACGGAGCCCCCCCCACAGCCTGGGGGCAGGAAGCCTCCCTGAACCCCCCAGCCCCTTGGATGCACGACGAGCCCCAGACCTGCTGCCCCCCACCTCGCTGCGGCCACGTGGGCAGCACCCATGGGCCCTCCCAGCACTTGCGTGGGGGCAGCAACACCCCGGCCTCGATGCTGCCGCACCAGGGCAGCTCCTGCCCCGTGCGGGGACGCGGCTACAAGAACCCCCCACAGCTCTGCCCGCTTTGGGGCACCAGCTCTGGGCTGGGAGTGCCAAGAAACAGCAGGTTGCTTCCCTGCGGGGGGTCTGGAAGGTGACACCCATCAGCACTGGTGCTAGGCTGGTCTGTACTGGTGAGAGCGGGTGCTGGGCATGGGAGCTGCCTGCAGGACCCCAATGGGGCGCACTGACGGCAGGGAACTTGCTCTGGCTTCATGCCTGGATCGGGCCCCTCTGCATGGCTGAGATCCAGCCACGCGGCCCCCCGGCAGTGGGACCAGTTCCCTCCATCAGTACGACCAGCTTGGCACCCAGATGGGACTGGGTGCACTGGTTTCCACAGAGTCTGGCTGCAAGCGGTGCCCAGCTGGGCCCGGCCAGCGCCGGGAGGGGAGACCCCAAACATGCACCATGCACCGGGGGCAAGGAGCCCTCGTGGGGGACCTCCTCCACTCCCCGCCCAGCCTGGGGCCGGGCACGGCAGTTCCTTGCTGCGTCCACCAGGGGGGCCCCTGGACCGGTGCCGTGGCCTGTCCCGTGCCGCAGGCGTGTCCGTGTCGGTGCCCGGTGCCCTGCCCGTGTTGTGCCAGCAGGTGTGTGCCTGCAGCCTGGGCCCCCGGGGACAAGGGCAGGGACAGTTTGGGAGGGAATCTCCCAGGCCAGTGGCCTGAGATGAGTTTTTCCGTTCTCAGCCTCCGCCGGCAGCCCGGGACTCGGTTCACCTCCTGCCCTGTGGGCTTCACCCGCCGTGCGTGCAGGGCCCAGCTGCTGCCTGGAACAGCCGCGGCGCCCAGCCTGCCCCACAGGAGCCCTGGCCATGGGTGGGGGCAGGGACGGACCTGCCCCTGTGGGCTGGGGACAGGCATCGATCCCCCCTCGACAATGCTGGAGACTAGCTCGGCAGGCAGGGCAGGGGAGCAGGCATCCCTGGCCTAGGCTGGGGAAGTGTGCGCACACACACATCCCCACCCACACTCACATGCAAGCACACATATGCACAGACATGCACAAACATGCATGCACACACAGGCAGGCACACATGCACACACATGCAGGCATGCACATGCACGCACACACACATATGCACAGGCATGCACACACACACATGCAGGCACGCACATGTATACGCAGGCACATGCATGCACAAGTGCCTATGCGCATGCATGTGCACACACGCACACTCTTTGCGCTCCCTGGGATGCTCAGGCCCAGCCTGGGCCTCTCAAGGC